TGTGTGTGTGTGTGTGTGTGTCTAGGCTATTGCCGGATGTGGATGAATCTGCAGCTGTGCTTTTTCGGTCTCTCCTGCCGCCAGAGGCCAACCGCCGGACTGTCAGCACCATTTTTCAGAGGCTCCTTGGTAAAGGATCAGTTTCCGTTTTCATTGAATCTCATTGCTCATGTTGAAGTTGTGTTAATGTTTCTGGATCAGCACCTGAGGAAGCTTTTTAATCAGTGTGTGGTCAGTGAGTAAACAGATCTGACGCACCGTTAAGAATAAGCCAGTTCTCTAGTATTATTATCATTATAAGTAGTTGTAGTATTCAGATCTTAATGAACAGACTAAATGATCAATTTATAAATCCTCCATTAAAATTGTGCTAATATAAAAGTACAGAAGTAGTTGCAGCAAAGTATATTTTTAAAGTAAAAGTACTGGTTTGGTTTATCTGATTGATACAATGGTACATGTGACACATTTAGTTTATTAATACTGAAGCAGCAGTCGGTCAGCAGCAGGTTATTAGGTGTTATCCTTTTGGGTCAGATGTGAAATCACGTGAGAAGTTTAGAGGGAAAATCACTCTCACATACTGTAGCTGTCTGAAATGTGATCCAGGCTCCGCTCATCAGGTTTGTTGTATTTTAGAATCTTGTGACTTGATCTATTGTTTAAAACACTCATCTTAAAAGTATCTAGTAATGGAAGCTTTAATATTAATGTAATGGAGTAGACAATGCAATATTTGGAAATACAAATGGAAATACCCAAGTACAGTACACAACATGCTGTACATTGTTCATGTTTAGTTTTTATTATTTTCTGTGCTCAGTCAGTTTTCATTACATCCGTTGATTATTTTGAGTATACTGATTGTCTGAATCTTGATGTAATTGTCTTGCGTGCAGGGATTGCCTCGGCCCAGAAGGTGTGTGTGGAGCAGCAGGAACCTTACGGCGACATTTGGATAACACCTGGTCCCGACTACAAAGAGGTGGTGCTGACTTTGTAACGTCGCCACAAGCTTCCTGTTCTGACATTTCTTCAGGTTCATAATTCTGGATTCTTTACGACATAACACAGAAATAGTCGGATGTTTTGTAAGTGATCGGATCCTACGATTTCTTGTTGCATCTTGTTGACATGTTTGAGATTATTGTGGTTTTTAAAACATTTTACTGCAGTTTTTAGGTTTTTCAGTATGAATTGACATTGTTAATGTGATTTATAATCTGCATGAACTTTATGAGCTTTAAGATGATTATTTTCACAGTTTTTAAGGTTTGTGTTTTGGATATTTTCAATGTGCATTGATTGTGACATGTTATTCTGCACAGATTAAGAAATGACATTTTGAACAGTCTCTGTTCAAGTAGCGTGTCCCTCAGAATGTAAGCTACAAAATAAAAGCTTTTATATGAGTTCTCTGAGTTATTCCCGTGGAGAAAGAGTGTATTGTGAGGTATGTGCAGCATGCAGGGCAGGGCAGGTGTTGCAAAACATGCTGCTGGGGTTAAGGAGGTGCAAGAGGGAGTGCAAGTGAGTTGGGTGAAACTGGATCCCCCCCTTCTCTCTCCCCTCCATCGCTCCCCCGACCACATCTTGATTCTCCTCTGAAGACTTTCTCAGGGGGCTGGGACCAAAGTTTATTATTAGCATCTGTCTCAGCTCTCCCTCTCTCCTGTCGCCCTCCTCCTCCTCCTCCCGTCTTTTCGTCTCGTTTCTGTCTGTCACTTTTTGTTTTTGTATTCTACTTCAGCCGACCTCTTCTCTTTTCTTCTCTCCATTGTTTGATTTTCACTTTTCTTTCTTCTTCTTAAAGGTGTTCTTTTCTTCTGTCAGTTTTGTGGTTGGACTGTGTAGTTGTGTCACGTCTTTGCTCCTGGTTTCCGTTGACAACACTGCAGGCTATTTTTACTTTGTCACAACTCTGTTTTTCCTCTAGTTTTTCTTTTTGTTGCAATTGCTTTAATATCGCATTGTCCCATCCTCTTTTCCTCGTGGCGTAGTGTTTGTGCTGCTACTGCTTCTCTTGTCTCTCCTCCACTTTACCTCCATCCTCTTCCACCCCAGCTCACTCCGTCCTTTCTGCATGATGGGAAAGACAGAGCTGTATTCCATGTATAAGAGTTTCCTGGACTGTATTTGCCTCTGCCTCTCTGTGAGTATCCACATTTCATTTTCTGTGCATGCGTGTGTGTGTGCACTGCTCTGAACAAATCACTGTCACCTCTGCATCATGCTTGACTTTTGACCCAAACATTTGCACCATACTGTGGCACCACAATATTAAATTTTTTGTCTTCAAGCCCACAATCCTTGACGACAGATCACATGCAGACCGAGTGTGTTTATGTGCTTGCGTCTGTGCGCAGCTAGTTAGTGTCCCACAGTTAAGTGTCTCCTCAGCACATGCTGGGCTTCTGATATTAATAACAACCTCAGAATGTAGATGGAAATAGAGCCACTGCTCCTCCGACGAAATCCAGACGTCATTTGACATTTGTTATTAGCTTCTTTTAAAACCTGCTCTCGTCACATTAATGCACAAGCTCACACTCATTTAGGGTTGATTTTAAATCATGTCTGCAGCTCTGCAGTAATGCATGAGATTACGAGCCGTGCGGATTCGTTTCACCGTGTGTGCATTTATCTGTTGGTTTGACTCATCATCAAGTCTAAGTCAGGTCTAAGTGCAGCCGGTGACCTTTGCCCTTTAAGTCCCAGTGGTCCGAACATTAGTCAATCTGTTTTTAGTGATGGAGGCGACACAAATAGGTTGATCTCTGCCCTGATTTTTTACTCTTTCGCTCCACCTGTCGCACATTTTAGTTTGACTTTGTTTTTCAGCGGAGCAGCTCCGAGGCTGCTGTCGACAGTGAGAGGGACACTGAGAACGGTCACCTGATCTACAAGAGTGGGGACATCCTGGAAGACAGATGTGAGTATCAGATCAAGAAGAGTTGGCTGCCTTAATAAAAAACAATCTCCACTTGTAATAATCTGTTTCACCTCAATCTGCCTTTCAGACGAGATAGTCGACACTTTGGGTGAGGGGACCTTTGGGAAAGTCGTACAATGTTTGGACCACAACAGGTTATTGGCTTTGAACATTGCACCAAAATTCAACATGTCTGATCTGCTCAGATTTTAAATGTAGTATTTATAAATGCAGGGGAGGAAGTCAAATTGCTCTAAAGATCATTAAGAACCAGGAGAAATACAGGGAAGCAGCCAACCTGGAAATCAATGTGCTGGAGAAGATCATTGAGAAAGATCCACACAACAAAAGGTGAGTTTGATCATTTTGTTGAGATAATGTTTCTATTGTTTTTATTTTCATTAATTAAATCTCTGTTTCTTTTTCCCATCAGGCACTGCGTGCAGATGCTGGACTGGTTTAATTACTACGGCCACGTGTGCATCTCCTTCGAGTTGCTGTCCCTCAGCACGTTTGACTTCTTGAAAGCAAACAGCTTCCTGCCTTATCCCATTAACCAGATCCGACACATGGCCCATCAGATCTGCCACGCTGTCAGCTGTGAGTCCGATGTGCACAGCTCCGGCTGCGCTGCACCACTTCTCTTTTTCTCTTTGCTCCTGCATCATAGTCAGTGGTGACAGTAAGCAGGTTATTCACAGTTGTTCCACTGCAGCGCAGACTGTCACCTGCAGATGATACAAGTGTTCCTCATTTACATTCTCTCGTTTCATACCAGGTATCGGCGACAAACACAGACAGGGTTTAAATTTAGGATGATGCTGTTTTTTATGAATATTTACTTCGTTATAAATAAACAAAGAAAAACAGCACACACATATTCACATTATTTTCTTTGGTTTTGCCTTCGAATAGTGACAGTAAAGAAAAACAGGAGACAGGGAGAGAAGAGCTGAATGACATGATGGCATGCAGCAAAATCGCCTGTAGGGAATCGAACCAGGGAGCTGCTGCTTGATGGCATATATGTCTATGTGGTACACATCTTAAATATATTTATATTTATGAGAATATTTGTGAGGCTAGAACTACTTTATCATTTTTTTAACGTATAAGCATAAATACTGTTGCTGAAGTGCTCTTCGGCAGAGAACCCTGGTTTACAGAGGAACTGGTCTGCAGCTGTGTATTGATTCAAGGTTGTGCTAAGAGAGAGAGAGAGAAACGAGAAACGTTATAAACACGTTGTGAGACAGAATAAGATACTAACTAGACCTTAGGTATTAAAGTAATGAATAAGATTATACAGGGAATTTTTTATTGCCTGCCCAGTGACTACAGATGAAAATAAGCCTTTGTGACTCACTCTGACATCTTTGTGGAAATGTTAGTAATATGCACTGTCCCTGTCAAATAAAGTAAATTAAAGTTAAAGCTGAACTGTCACTCATGGCAGGAAGATAAAAAAAGACAGTCACCAGTGAAAGATCAATATTTTATCAAGAAAACATAAAGAGTCAAGTGAATTATATTTAATTAAACCAATGCTTTATCAGACAGAATGTCAGAGTCACTTCTATTTAATCTTCCACTAATTTCACCTAAAATCTATTTTTTACATTTTTGTCCAACTGAAATTTCGTCCAGAGGAGGATGTTAATAAATCTAAAATTTACTCTCTCCCCCTCCTCTTCCTGTCTGCAGTTCTCCATGACAACAAGCTGACTCACACCGACCTGAAGCCAGAGAACATCCTCTTTGTCAACTCAGAGTTCTCCCTCATATACAACGCTGAGAAGGTTAGAGACAGCTGCAGGCGTGAAGGCTGGGACCTTCAGGGGGAGGTGGAAAAAAGAAAACCAGGATGTTGAATAAGCAATGGATTAATTCGATGAGGAGAGGGAGAGATCGCTTTGTAGTCGCCCATTTAGATGCAAATTTAGTCTCAGCAGAACCTGTGAACCACCCACATGTGTTCCCTGTTATAGGCGCTCACATATTTATCTAAACAAACTGAGGGTTGTGTTTTTTGACCTTAGTGTGAAAATTAAATCAATTTTTATCAAGAACTAGAATCATCCCTGTGGTTGAGCCTCCACCGACCATTGAAGTCTCAGCCGACATATATGTTTTTTTCCAGACTCATACGAGGTCACCAAGACCATTGAATCAAATCACTTAATCTTTTAGTCCACGCGAAGGCCAAACATTTGAAGAAATTCCCCAAAGGCAGACTTGAGATACCATGTTGGAGACTCCATGTTGGAGAGGCCCAGAATGATTTATGAGGCCACCTTGACCTTTGACCTTTGATCGCCCAAATCAAATCAGTTAATTTGTTGGCACAAGTGGACATTTGTGCCAAGTTTGAAAGGATTCTCTTGATGCATCCTTAAGATAACGTGTTCACAAGGCAAGAAATGGGGTTAGTGAGGTCACTTTGACCTTTTGCCACCCAAATCTAATTAGTTAATCTGTGAGTCTAAGTGGACATTTGAGACAAATTTGAAAAATGTCTCCCAGGGCATTCTTAAGATATCATGTTCACAAGGTCACAGTGACGTTGACCTTCGATCTTTGATCACTAAAATCTAAACAGTTAAATTTTGAGTCCAACTGAATGAATGAAGTTTGAGAAAATGTATTTTTGTAGTTTTGGTCATTCTAAAAAACTATGAAAACTAAAAAAAGTATACTTTGTACTTAAATAGATCTTAAGGGCTTGTTTCCAGTCTGATTTTCTCACTGATTCCTGTCAGACATCGTTATAGCTGCTGTGTTTCCACGTCTCAGCCATTATTCTGACGGGTTCGGTCACATTAGAACTGGAACGACTGATGACCGGTACGACCACAGAAACTCATAAACCATGATTGTCTTCACAGTGTCTCCCCCTGTCTTCCTCAGAAGTGCAACGAGAGGAGAATAAATGACACCACGGTGCGGGTCGTCGACTTTGGCAGCGCCACCTTTGACCACGAACACCACTCTGCCATCATCTCCACACGTCACTACCGAGCTCCGGAGGTCATTCTGGGTAAGAGACGTTGATTCAGAGTGGAGACCAATCAGAAGCTGTCGGTCTTGTTTAGTTGACTGTAAACGTTCGGTCCGTCTTTCCTCCCACAGATCTGGGCTGGAGTCAGCCATGTGATGTGTGGAGCATCGGCTGCATCCTGTTCGAATACTACGAAGGCTTCACGCTGTTCCAGGTCACATGAGTGCTTGTTCTTGTACAGATGTTGAAAGTAGCATGAACTTCATGTTGCTGACATCTTGTTTTTATTTACAGACACATGACAACAAGGAGCATCTCGCCATGATGGAGAGAATACAGGGACCAATTCCTCAGAGAATGATCCAGAGGAGCAGGTATGACTCAAAGCTGCTCCACACAAATACAAACATGTTTCCTTCTATCTGACATGTATTCATTTTTTGTCCAGGAAGCAGAAGTACTTCCACCGAGGGCGTCTGGATTGGAACGAGGGCTCCAAGGCCGGACTCTACGTGAATGCCAAATGCAAACCACTGAGGGTGAGCCGAGACAGGTTTACATTTTTACACACCAGCTTAGTATGTAGACCTTCTTTACCAACATGCTTCTTGCGTGTTATTACAGAAGTACTTGTTGTCACGTGGAGTTGAACACCATCAGTTTTTCAATCTGCTGGAGACGATGCTGCAGTACGAGCCCACAAAACGCACTTCTCTCTCTTCCGCTCTGCGCCATCCCTTCCTCCTGCCCCTCATTGAGCCAGGAAGGAGTCGGGTCTGGAGAAACAGCCTTGATCTGAGCAGATGACGGAGAAGAGATCGCCCTCAGTCGTCTAATCGAATTAGAGACAGGGAATAAAACAATATGAGAAGAGCAAGGCAGATTCAGTTACTGTAAATGGCACAGACACGGTCATGTGCTTAACTGTGGTTAAAAAAATAAGGAAGCATGAAAGACACATCTTTGTTAAGCCTCTTTATGTTACGTTCATTTCACACATTTGTCCAAAGTGACGTACAAAACATGTTGCTGATTATGTTGAAATTAACCTGGTACTGTTCCAGATGTTCCAGAAGTGCAGGCCCCTTCTGTTCACTATTTATTTTTGTCCAATATAAAATTATTTTGCAGTCTCTGAAAACTTCAAACAAAGACTTTTGTTAGTGTTGCTTGATAATTGCATCGTAAGTGCAGATTGATGTGAAAAGTGAATCCATCCAGTAGTTTCCCTGCGAACAAACACTGATGACAACAACATCCTTGGCGGAGGAAAAGAAATATACTTGACTTTAGCTGAATAGAATAAACAAGTTGCATCCGCCTGTCAGGGGAGTTTTGTATCAAACATAAATAAGTGGAAACTGATGGAACGCTTTTCTAAATATCTTTTCTAATATATAAAAATGTAAAAAAAAAAAGAATTGTAGTAAAATGAACAAAAAGATGTGGAATAGTCTTTTAAAGACTGATCCTCACATGAAGTTTAACCAAGTCTGCTAAAACAAATTACTGTGAAGCATACCTTTATGTTGTATCTCTAAAATTTAGAGGATATCGATATAAAAGTTAAAAAATATGATTTATAATTTAACAACATGTGTTTTTGTAAAACATTTTGTATAAAATTACTTGAGTCATTTAGTCATTTAATAAATCCAATTCTGTTAATAGTGTCTCACCCAGCGTACTGGTAATCTGTGCATGTCTCTCACACATGTACACACACACACGTCACTGTCCTTGACTCGCTCCCCCACTTTGGCATGTTTATTGAGTGCAGCTCGGCAGAGAGCGTGAGCACAAGGCTGTGCGAGTGAGTGCGCTCGCCAACTTTCCTCTTCAGCCTTGGCAGAGCTGAGAGAGACTTAGTGTCAGCGTATGTGTGCCTGAATGACTGAGACCTTACACTTCTGAAGTGAGTGTGTGTTGGCAGCTGTTTGTATTTGTGTGTGTGTGTATAAATGTGTAAATGATCTTTCTTGGCGATGCTAAAAGTCATTTTAGATTGTTTAAGTGCACATGGAGACTTGTTAAATGAAGGTTTGTTTGTGTGTGTGTGTGTGTGTGTGGGAAGACTCATGACTTGTTGTTGTTTACTTGGTTTTAACAAAGATTTAATTGTTGTCGATGCTTTTCACAGTGCTTCTTTAACAAGTTTATTCTCTCATTTTCTTCACACATTTTAAGAAATTGACTAAAAATAGCAACAAACTGTACAGATGATGAGATGATTTTGAAGTATACACTGTATTTACAGTATTCTTGAAATGAGCTTTATCAGAAACAATGACAGCTAAATGTGTTTAAATGTCAGTATTTCATATTTTATGATGCTTTCTAAAGAGAACAAAAAACTCTGAGGTTCATCAAATTTTTGACCCTGAACATAAACACATTTGTGATCCAGTTGATGTTTAGTCATTCCAGGACCTACATTTGTAAAGACGTAATCTGCAGGTCTGAAGCTCTCACCTCAGCTGCTGAGGCTCAGGTGTTTAACATAGTTTAACAGCCTGAGACGACCTCCTGCTGCACACACTGTCAGTGATAAGAAGATCATGAAAATGAAAAGTTTGAACACTCTTCTGCTCTAGACGTAAAACTGAAGAGACAAACCTAAATAAAACATGTTTTTCAGATTTCCATTTTTATCTGCAAATAAGAATGACGTGATATTTCAGATATGAAATGGTTGTTTTATAAAAACTGGATACAGATGCTGCTTATTCACTTGAATAGAAATTGCTCAGCCATCACTGCAGGCTGAGATGAGGATCTGTATCCAGCTCTTCAAAACTTCCATGTTTTAATACTATGTGATAAGAAAAGGCCAGAATGGATTTTTACTGATTAGTTTGAAGGCTCTCCATTGTCTCAGTCCGAACTGTATCTCTGACCTTTTAGTACAGCATGCCCCCCCTGCACGCACTCTGAGATCAGAGGTCTTTTGTCCATTCCAGTGACTCGGCTGAAAATCAAAGGGGATGGGGCTTTTGCTGTCAGGACCTTGAGGTTCTGGAACAACCTGCCTGAAGAGATAAGGTCAGCTGAGTCAGTGATGATTTTTAAATTCCTATGTTATCAGAAAGCCTGATACTTATTTCAGTTTTGTTTTCCCTGTATGTGTTTTCACATATACTGGTTTTTATCCATCATTACCCTCATAGGATAAGATGGATAGATAATGGATCGATGGATGGATTTTAAAACTGATGATCTCATGACTAGTGTGCTGCCATTGTAAAGGACTTTGTAATGTTGAATTTGAATATATTATAATGCATTTCAAATCATGTCTTTCACTCACATGTTGTGTCATTGTAATTAGAAATTTTATTCTGAAATCGTCTGTCTGTCTGTCTTTCTCTCTCTCTCTGTCTCTCTCTCTCTTTCTTACATGCAAAAGACACACTTGGAGGATTCTCTGGATCAGTGTTAAACATGTGACACACACACAAACACACACACACACAATACAGTAAATGATAATAATAATAATCCTTGCAGCTGTAAATGTCTGCACTTTGGATGAGTGAACTGATCCCAGATCTGCTGCTGGAGATGAGCTGGAGGAGGCGTGGCGTTTCTGTGTGATCACCTTAAAGCATTAAAGCGTCTCCACCTGGCAGTAAGCGAAGTGGTCTGGGTGGTGGTAGGGAAAGAATAGGACTGTGTGTGTGTGTGTGTGTGTGTGTGTGTGTGTGTGTGTGTGTGTGTGTGT